AATATATATATATATATATATATATATATATATATAAACATACAATTGTTGGTACCCTTGGTAAATATGAACAAAGAAACTGTGAAAAAACGTCTCGGGTTACGCATGTTACCATGGTTCCCCGAGGGGGAACGAGACGCTGCCCCACATTGGGGAATGCTGCCTGCATGACCGGTGTCTGAAGCACGTGTGAAACAATGCCAATTTATTGGCCCACCTGGCCCATGACGTCATAGAAGTATAAAAGGGCACCTGCTGAATACATCATCCACTTAGCTGTCTGAAGGAGACATAGACAGGCAGGCCGAAGGCATGGCAAGGAGTCGCAGCGTCCCGTTCCCCCTCGGGGAACCATGGTTACATGCGTAACCCGAGACGTTCCCCTTCTAGGGAACTCAACGCTGTGCCCCCTAGGGGGCACATTGGGTAACGAAATCCAATCATGCCGTGCTGAGGCGCATGCCTGTCTACCTGGTGGGAGAGCACCAAGGAAGCGACAGACAAACAAAGCCTTTCCTCAGAAAGGGACCATGCCACTGACGCCACGGGCCGCTCACGCAACTTGGCAGAAACGGGGGAACCCGAATAGATCAAGGGGAACATCCCATCCAAGTTAAGAGCACAGCTATCCTCAGATAGCTATGCTATGTGAGCAGAACTAGCCTGGATACACAAGACCACTGAGGTGAACTAGATAGCCTCTAGGGTAGCTCAAAAGATGCTACTTAAATCCCAGGTAAAGGGAGTAGCTGCTGAGCTAGAACACAGCTATCCTCAGATAGCTATGTCCCTATGGTCTTATGAAGGCTTGTGGACCCAAATAACATAGCCAAGATAGCCTTCCTACGGAGCTGCCCAGACCACGTACCAGAAGGGGGGCTCGACTGAAACTACCCAGACCACAAAGACTGGGCTGTCTACTTACGACCCAAAAGTTGAGACAGCACTGTCAGGGTAAGGGCTCAAAAGACTGCTACTTAAAACCCTAAGCAGGGGAGCAATCACTTAGCTAGCACATAGCTATCCTCAGATAGCTAGGCTGTAGGTAAAGTGGGCTATCTACTTACAACCCTAGTAGGGGAGATAGCGCTATCTAGGCGAGGGCTCAAGGAGACCACTACTTAAAGACCCTAGGAAGGGGAACAGTCACTGAGCTAGCACACAGATATCCTCAGATAGCTATGTACCTAGGAAGGGGTACCAGAATGGGGGCTCGACTGAAACTACCCAGACCACAAAGAGTGGGCTGTCTACTTACGACCCAAAAGGGGAGACAGCACTGTCCAGGTAAGGGCTCAAAAGACTGCTACTTAAAACCCTAAGCAGGGGAGCAATCACTGAGCTAGCACATAGCTATCCTCAGATAGCTAGGCTCTAGGAAAAGGGACCACTCCATAGGAGGTCTCACCTTAACCGCAATGGAACACAGCTAGCCACAGATAGCTGTATTCAGGTAAGTTCAACCTGCCATACCAATGGCTGGATTATAACCACCCTCAGATGGCTATAAAAAGGAGGTCCCAAATCCACATCAGAGCCCAGATAGTCTTCCTACAGAGCTGCCCAGACCACATAGAGAGGGT